GGAATTGAACTCAGGCCCTCTGGAAGAGCAGCCAGTGCTCTTAACCTGTGAGCCATCTCTCCAGCCCCAGCACCCGCTTTATAAATGTACTAATTTCCTTTGTAGCTCAGGCCTTTAGTCTTGTTCTTCATTTTTCTCCTCCCTGTGCTAATCACACAGCTTCGTTCTTTGACTGTCTCTGTCTCAGTGACTCTTGTCTGGGTTACAACCCCTTCCTCAACTCTCCCACTCTCCTTCTGCTAATTTCCTGACAGCATTTGTCAAAATCTGATAGTCACTGTCCCCCAGGAGCAGAGGCCTTGTTGGTCTACCCTGATCTCTGTGTAACCTAGCACCTGACCTCATAGGTGCTCAAAAATACTGTTGAAGGGCTGGAGAGATGGCTCAGCGGTTAAGAGCACTGGCTGCTCTCCCAGAGGTCCTGAGTTCAATTCCCGGCACCCTGCACTCGCAACCATCTATAGTGGGATCTGGTGCCCTCTTCTGGGATAAAGGCATACATTTGCATAGAGCACTCAGGTTCATGGAATAAATAAATCTTTTTTAAAAAAATAGTTGAGCAGCCAGGCAGGGCGGTTCATACCTGGAATTCTAGTGCTTGGGAACCTGAGAAAGGAGGGTCTAGAGTCTGAGGTCATCTGTGGCTGCATAGGAAAACCTAGCCTGGGCTATACAGTGACATTCTCCAAAAACAAAAACAACACATACACACACAGGCAGAGTTAACAGATGAACTGGGGAAGATCTGGAGTTAGGAAGAGTGCTCCCGATAATTAGAAAAGGGAAGATGTGTGTGACAGAGACAGCAAAATAGAGGTGGGGTTAGCCAGTGACGCACTGAATGAAGGTGGGTGACGAGCCAGGGAAAGAGAAGATAGAGCAGGGAGCCTCGGGAAGACTTCTGTGCGCACAGATAGAAAAAGACCTTAGGTAGGCATGATAGCCATGTGAATAATGAAACCAGCCACCTCCTAGGAACCCCAAACTCTGCTGTAGCCCAGTCATTTTTGTCCTGTGCCCCAGAGATCCCCACAATCCTGGTCTTGTACACAGCTATGGCTCCTGCTCCATATATTAGTCCTTCACCTTGAGGCTTTCCTCTGTGCCCAAGGACAGCTACTATGCTAGAAATATGGGAGCCAGACCAGAGCCAGGCCCGGCTACTGACCAGCCCAGCAATAACTGACAGCTGCCTCTTTGAGCCTCAGTTCCCTTTTTTGCCAAATGGGCATAAGAAGAGTTTCTGCTCTCTCTTCTACGGAGCTGTGGGATTGACACTTGGCAAGGAGTCTAGTTAAAAACGAGGGTGTTTGGAGAAGTTCCAGCCATAGCCTGGCCTCTCCCTGCTCCCATGTCGCCTGGCCCACCTGGATGGTCAACCCTGCTCCCATGTCGCCTGGCCCACCTGGATGGTCAACCCTGCTCCCATGTCGCCTGGCCCACCTGGATGGTCAACCCTGCTCCCATGTCGCCTGGCCCACCTGGATGGTCAACGCCTGGCCCACCTGGATGGTCAACCCTGCTCCCATGTCGCCTGGCCCACCTGGATGGTCAACCCTGCTCCCATGTCGCCTGGCCCACCTGGATGGTCAACATTATGTGCGTTTGGCCCTTCAGCACTTCCACGGCCTGGCTGTGGCTGATGTCATCGAACCTGACACCGTTGGCCGCCAGGACCTGGTCCCCCACTTTGATGCCATTCTCCTCAGCCAGCCCACCATGATCCACTCTGGGGAGAGACAGGTGTTGCTTGATAAGAGCCTGACCCGGCTCCCTCCCCCCAATCTAGACCCCCTTCACTTGGCTATAGGAATGCCCTCCTATATCCCTTGGGCCTCTCTGATTGACAACACCCTTTCACGGGGGCCTATCCTGAAGGGGCCCTCATTTCAACATTAGTTGGGTGATTTTCATGTGTTACATCCCTTTGTTGTTGATTGTGTTGATTGACAACACCCTTTCACGGGGGCCTATCCTGAAGGGGCCCTCATTTCTATATCCCTTGGGCCTCTCTGATTGACAACACCCTTTCACGGGGGCCTATCCTGAAGGGGCCCTCATTTCAACATTAGTTGGCTGAGCCTCGTGTGTTGACCCATCCCCAAACTCTCCTTCCAGCCCTGCCCCAGCCCCAGTCCTTCCATTTTACCCCAGCACTCACTTAGACACATAGATGCCCAGGCCAAACTCCTTGCCCCCACGGATGTTGAAGCCGAGGCAGAAGTCATCCGAGGTTGTATAGAGATGGACAATGCGCCGCACGCCATCTTCAGAGCTGCTGTCCGATGGTGTCGAGCTGCACTTTTCCACCACCAGCCTCAGGTTTACCACATCCACCCTGCCGCAATACAAGAGGCCCTGACCCTAGGTCCTCCAGGAACACCCAGTCTAACAGTCTTGGCAACTGACTGGGAAAGAAAGGGATGACTCCCTTGGGGTGGAGGCGGGGCTTCTCCTGGCCCAGAATCTTCAATATAGGTTTCTTCAAACCTGTGAAACAGTCTGAGTTACCACCACCTCCCCACACCTTTCTCTACTAAGTAGCTGCAACATTTGGAGGCCCATTTACCCTCTTTTGTTTGGTTTTTGATGGTGTGAATGGAGCCCAAAAGCCTGCCTGGACTATGCTAAGCATCTAATCTACCATGATCTTTGTCCCCCAAACCCAGAGCCCCATTTCTACTCCTTATAAGTCCCCATGGGAAGATGCCCAGGGCGGGGGCATGCTTCAGTACCAGAGATCAGAGCCGCTAGGCAGGGGCAGGGGAGACGTGGGGTAGGGGGGTCTGAGCAAGGTTGGGTGCTGCTCACCATGTGGTCTTCTCCTTGGAGAACTTGATGCCGGGCACGCGGCCCATGCGCCGTACCATCATGTGTAGGCTGCCGCTGCTGGTCAGCAGCCTCACAGCGCTGCCCATTGTGGTACTCTCCAGACTCAGCCCATTCACCTCCGTGATCTTGTCCCCCACACACAGGCCAGCCCGCTCTGCACAGGAGTGGGGAAGGGTGAGTCCCCAGGGTGGGCTCCACATGCTCTGTGGACGCTAGGCGGTGTCCCCTAATCCACACAGTAAGAGTGAGCTCTATCTCCCATCAGTGCCCGCCCTCTGAGGAGAAATAGTTCCTGTCCTTGGCCACCTAGCTTTTGCTACCCACTGAAGAGGGGGCACATCCCAAGCCGTGCTCCCCCTGAGGGCCCCCTGCTCACCTGCACTGCTCCCCTCCTCCACCTTGCTGACAAAGATGCCCAGGCCATGTTCAGAGCCACCTCTCACGCTGAAACCCAGCCTCCCAGAGGAGCTCTTCTCCACCCGAACTGCATGGATGACGTCACTTTCATCACTGTTGGCTGTGAGGATAACCACACAGGTATGATCTCCAGGTTAATTCTGGCAACTGAGCATCTGGAGTACCCACCTCGGTGTCTGCAAAGGCTAGGCTTCTGTGCAGAGCCACCCAGATGATACACAGGGCCCTAAATGGAGATGGTATTCAAGTCCCCTCTGGGTAGTTCAGAGACCACAGACCACTAATTGACAGTACAGGAATGGGTGAGAAGAGCTCAATTAGATCCCATGCTCTTCCTTTGTTCTCTCTCTCTCTCTCTCTCTCTCTCTCTCTCTCTCTCTCTCTGTGTGTGTGTGTGTGTGTGTGTGTGTGTGTGTGTGTGTGTGTTGTCTTCTGAATTCTTATGTCCAATCTCTGAAACTTTGCCTCCTGAGAACAAGAGAGGAAGGCCCCAGATTCCATTGTGGGTAGTCTGGGCTTGGAACAGAATGAGCTCCAACTTAAACAGCTGCGGAGCTGTCCATGGAAGTCTTTATATGCTCCATGTAACCTAAGGGCAGAACTCCATTGTGGGTAGTCTGGGCTTGGAACAGAATGAGCTCCAACTTCAGTCAGCTGTGGAGCTGTCCATGGAAGTCTTTATATGCTCCATGTAACCTAAGGGCAGAACCAAGCTTGCACAGGGGAGTTAGACAGGGACAGAGAGTTGAGCTTTCCATCCAGAGGCATGAAGGCTGAAACTTGGTAAGTCACTGACAGGACCTTAGGGGAAAACTGCTGAGACCTCGTCTTGCTCACAGACTCTGATTCTAGGGGGAGCTCTAGGGACTACATGGCTATCTGCAGACAGAGCCTCCAATTCAGCAGGCTGCAGGGTCTCCCTGGAGCCCTCGGAAGAGGCAGAGGGGATGGTTCCATAGAGAAATGAGATGGGAGAGTTTAGGGCAGTGAAAAGAGAGGAGGTCATGTGTGAGACTCAGAGGCCAACCTTCAAGACACCTGCTGGGTGACAAGTGACAAGAGTATAGACAAGCTGGTACCAGGTAAGAAGGGGAGATTTGTTTCCTTCAGGCAAGGTTTACTCCAGCGGTGCTGGAGAGGAAACACACACACACACACACACACACACACACACACACACACACACACAAACACACACAAACACACACACACACACACACACACACTTCACACACTACACATACACACACACACACACACACACTACACACACACACACACACACACACACATACACACACACACACACACACACTACACACATTCACACACTTACTTCAGTTTGGTCTACCAGGTTTCAATGTGTGACCAGGACAGATGGGGTTGAAATCTCCAGGGACAGGCTGGGCAGGGTGATACAGGACAAAGATAGGGACCCTTGGGCTTCCTAACCAATTGTCATTACATAGTTCTCAGGCCCCATTAACCTTATCAAAAAAGCCTCTAGCTCCCTGCCCATAGTCCACTTTTTCTTCCATGTCTCCCTGGGGACCCCTATGCCCTGGGCAATTGGGATGTCAGAGCAGAGGTTTTATTTGTTTTAGTTTTTATTTAGTATAGTCTCACTATGTAGCTCTGGCTGTTCAGGTAGATCAGACAGTCCTCAAACTCACAGTCCTCAAACTCTGTCTCTGCCTCCTGAGTGCTGGGACTAAAGGTGTGCACCATCATGCTCTGCTACATCTGAGCTTTGAGAACTATAGTGTGGGTTCTCTGAGGATGGACTCTCCCCTCCCTCACCTGACCTGACTAGGATGCTCACCCTCCCTGAAGCTCCCTAGCCATCTGCTTGCTTCCCATTCCTACTCAGGAACTGAGTGTACTATATCAGCTATTCCTGTCTGTTTGACAGGAACTCCAGGCTGCCCCTGGTCCCGTATGGCCCTCCATGTCTTCCTCAGCCATTCTGATGGGGTATTTTTGTTGTTGATGTTTAGTTGCCTTCAGGCCAGAAGAGGGCATCAGATCTCTTTGTAGATGGCTGTAAACCACCTTGTGGTTTCTGGGAATTGAACTCAGGAACTCTTGAAGAACAGGCAGTGCTCTTAACCTCTGAGCCATCTCTCCAGCCCTCATCCTGAGGTTCTTTTAGTGCCTCATGTGAATTAGACACTGTCTGCTCCTGTAATAGTCTCACTTTGGCTTTGGCAGAGGTTGGGGTGTTGGCTCCTTTCCTCAACCCCTCTCATTAGACATCACTTTCTCAGCGAAGCTTGGACCAGGGCATGGTATCAGAGTGGCAGACGCTGCATCACTGGAAAACTTGTTAAAATGAGAATCCTGTAGGGCTCCCTGGCAGGCGCATAGCCTTGAGGTGAGGAGCTTGGGGCCTTGTGGTTAGACAAACCCTCCACCACACTGAGCTACGATCCCAGTCCTTGTTATTTTGAGACAGAGTTTTGCTATCTAGGCCACGTTGACCTTGAAGAGACTACTGAAAGTGCTGGGATTGTGAGCAGGCAACACAATGTCTAGATGTTTTTGTTTGTTTTGGGTTTTGTTTTAAATTTAAGGCACAGTAGTGAGGACATAAAATCTTATCACCCAGAAGAATGAAGCCTGTGGATGAGGAATTCAAGGTCAGCTCAAGTGAAACTTTGTCTCCAAAGCATACAAGCCAGCATAGCTTCCCAATTCTGTAAGCTCAATACTCTGAAGCTGAGGCAGGATTGTCACAGGTTTGAGGCCAGTCTGAGTTCTAAGCCAGCCAATACTATAGAGTGAGAATTTATCTTAAAAAGAAGAATAGCAAGGGTGCTGGAGAGATGGCTCAGAGGTTAAGAGCCCTGGCTGCTCATCAAGAGGTCCTGAGTTCAATTCTCACAGCCATCTGTAGTGGGATCTGGGGCCCTCTTCTTGCATTAAGAACACTAATATATAATAAATAAAATAAAAAAAA